TAGTGTGTGTAACCTCAAATTATTTATTAATAGATATCAATTGATTTTATACTTATCATTAATTTGATCATGGAACAACAAACTGATAAAGAACAAATGGTTAACACTACTACGGTTAAAAAAAATAATTGAACTATACTTTATCCATGAGGATACCCAAGAAAGCATTATACAAAACATTCTCACGGATCTGATAAAAAAGAAAAAAGAAGCCAAGAAAGAGCATGACAAGTATATTGGGATTAATGATGTGATGTATAATATACTAGAACAGAAGCAATTTGCGTATAAAGCATCAGCAAATGCATTATACAGAGGCCTAGGTTCACCGTATTTCAGTATTGCTGTACCGGTGATATCACAGTGTGTGACCTTTGTTGCTCGGGAACTGATAAAAACTTTAAAAAAATTTATAGAATCGTATTACATTGGGGAATATAGAGATGGCCAGAACGTGATCTGTGACGAAACCAGTGAGGTAATCTATGGAGATACAGATTCTTGCCTAGCACGATTACCAAAGCGTATCTTACATTGTATACTTGAAAAGTACTACGGTCATTTGAAATATATCGAGTTGAATAATGGTTTGGTAAAGGAATATGAAGAACTTATATTCAAGATGTACGATGAGCTTACCAAAGAGGGAAGTATATTTGGTAAAAAAGTATGTGATGCATTCAACGCGTTTAACCGTGATCGTGGAATTAAAATAGTTACATTGGAATATGAAAAACTTTTATTTGATTTGACGCTAAATAACAAGAAACGCTATGCGGGTTATAAATTTGAATTGCAAAGCAATGGAGACCCTCCAGATTACTTTTTTTTAGAAATATTTTCTGGTGCTAAAGACTATATTTCAAGAAATGCAAAGCTCTTTAACAAACGGCTTATATTTGATGAGATGGTAACCGCATTTTTAACCGAAAGTGATGAGTTTAAAAAGTATACAGTTATGAAATGGTTTTCCAATATTCATGTTAGAGGCCTACCTATAGTTCGACATGATGCAAATAACTCCTCTAAGGTTATGCAACAGATGACATATTCAAAACTTTTTGATTATAGAGAGAAGACAAAATTTATTCTGGATAAAAAAATTAACAACTTTGATGAGTTCTTTGAGTTCTTCGTAAATAGTTGCCATGATAAAAATAATTGGTTATTAACATGTCTAGAAGATGCAAGCAAAAAAGTCATAAAGTTATTAACCCAAAAGCTTGAACCCCGAGACCTCTATATAATTGAAAATAGTGTACGGTTTAACCCTCGTGAGATTTCAACTTCAACTATAATCGAAAAGATAAAACATGATATATTCAAAAATAGTAATTATAATATTGTTAATGGTAAATTAATACTATACGAGGATATGAATATGAGCAAGCGACATCACTTTGTGAATGAGATTAATTGGAACAAAAAAACATCATTTGAATTAGTCGATGGAGATTTTTATTTTAAGAATCTGAGATTAAAATATAAGGGACGAGCCGAGAGAAAAGGGAACCCCAGTGTTATAACAATGATCAATCGGTTACAACAAGAGAATAAAAGGGTACCAAGTGGACGTATTAATACTATTGTTAAATGTTTACCAGATTCACGTACAGTTAGCGAGAGAATGATACTATCATAAGAGTATGATCCTGAAAAGGATAAAATCGACACTATATATTATATCAAAAAATTCAATTCATTTATCGGGTCATGTCTAAATATTGAGGAAAAGAAGCATGGGGCCTCGTTAATAGATGGTATAATGAAGTTGTTAAATCACCACAGATTCAGTGAACACAAGATACCGATAATGAAGAAAACGATTCCACCAATGAGTAATCAGGAGAAACTAGTAAATAATACAAACGAACAAAGACCAAATATGATAGTATAGAAACTACTTCTAATCATAGAATAACTGATTTTTTTATTCGAAGATAATTTATTTATTTATTAATAAATAACTAATTTGATAC